GTTTCTCAGACAACTACACTTTGAATAATTACAAATGAGCAACTGGGCAACATCATCAGTTCCAGCCTTGTAGCTAATTTGAGGTGTGTTATTTTAACTCTCCATCCCAATGCCTTTACTCTAGATATGAAAGAGCAGTGGGAGCAATTCATTTTAATTCGAACCTTGTCAAGGTTCTTTTCTTTTGAGTAAAGGTTGTTTCAACTATATTTCTTCATTAACTCCCTCATCATGACTTGCTGGCATCTTTGGCTATTGTGGATAATAGCTCTAGCTTTCAAATGATAGAGAAAGATGACAAGATATTTTCAAAAGATAAGGTAAAGAAGATGTGAATGTAAGCCTTTTAAAAAATAGGAAAATTAAAAAAAAATCTTACTAGATGGAAATAATTTATTTTTGTCAGGCAATCCAACTTTTTTAATCTTCACTATCTGGAACATAGTCTAAGCCTAGAAGAAAAGAGAGATGTCCTCAAAAATCTTAATATTCTCTATGAGAATAATGAACATTATGTGGAAGAGCTTTCTTTCTAAAATCTCATAATCTGAGAACAGTGTAGAAAATGGTCATAGAATTTTGTTTCCATGCCTTGTCTCTTGGTGTGGCATCAAGGGAGTAGCACAGAAAGCTGTAGGTCCAGATGCTTAGAATTCTGAATTTGACCTCTTTTTTGGTTATTGTTGATTTTTGATAAGTTATTCTTTCTTTCCAGGCTTTAGTGCCCTCAGGGTTATACTGCCTTTATAAAAATCTATTACTTATAGACAGTTTAGTGATTCCATGAAAGAGTCCTTATAAAATTATTATTTCACCAGCAGTGACAAATAACCAGAATTACTAATATTGAATAAATGAGGCTCATCACAATAAGTCTCCGAGTTTGGTGAAGGTGTCTGAAGATAGTGACTGTCAGAGAACTGACCAACACATCAAATTCACACTTGAAAGAAACTTCAGTAATATTTCAAAATGCCCACCAGGGACTGGCAGAGTTCAGAAGCTGTTCTTTCTATCCCATCTAAATGAATATTCAGCACCAGAGAACTTTCCTATTGTGTGCCATCAATTATACAGTGGGCTATAGCAGTGTGAGGACCACCTGCACTCGTACATGCTTGAGCAAGTGCTTTTGCATCAAGCCAAGTATGATTATCACATAGTCAAGTAGCATACTATTTCTGAGGCTGTGAAATCTTTTCATCTCCTTTTGATCTAGATAGCTACTTTTTCTTCCTTCTATGCTGAAGCAGCCCAATCCTCTAATCCGGTTCTGTCAAATTAATACTTTAGCATTATGAACTATGACACTTACGCTATTTTTTAAAAGTCCCATATTTTGCAAAATTTTGCAATAGTATGTCCACAAAAGAACTTCTGTTTTCTTCTGTGTGGAGAAGACAGTAGTATACGATAGCTAACAACATAAGAGAAAATGTATGGCAGGATCAAGTCTGATGGAGGAGGAGGGTGTGCATGTGAGAAGGAGGGGCGAGCCAGGGAGAGCAGGTTGCACAAAATCTGGTGTGGGTCTGATTTCTTTCCCAGCATTTTCATTAACAATCTTGGTGAGATCACAGGATCTCAGTGAGCCTTTGGCTTGTGAGCTTTACAATGTTGAGAATATAGGCTCACAGGCACACAAATTGGCTTTGAATTCTGGCTTTCCTACTTAGCTGGTTGTATGGACGAGGTATTTAAAGGTTTTATGCTTCAGATGTAAAATGAAGATATTAATAGGTGAATTGCATAAGATTTTGAGGGGATTAAATGAAGTAATATAGTTAAATATACCTAAATCATCACCCATGTAATAACACAGCTAAATTAGAACTACTGTCAAGGGTCTGGTTGAGTTAGAGAAAACTAAATTCACAGGCAGAGAATGTGGCTTCTTTCCCTCTTGTACTGTTTCCACTCTCATGGGTCATGGTGGTAGTGGTACAGTAATGTTCTCTCCAGAGTTATACCCATACTTTAACTCTTGGAACCTGGGGATGTGTTGTTTTATGGAAAAGGTGTCTTTCCAGTTATTATCAAAGACTTTTATAGAAGGGTCTTACCCTCTCATATACCCAGTTAAATTATATAAGTCCTTGAAAGCAGAGAAATTTTTCTGGTTGGAAGTATAAGACTCAGCAGAAGGAGTAGTCAGAGACTTTTAAACATATGAAAGATTCAAATAGCTGCTGCTGGCACTGAGACACAGGGATCATATCATGTATAATACGTTCCCAGTCCTAAAATCCCCCAAAGGGGGATCTACCAGCAACTGGAAGAGCTGGGAACCAAATTCTCTGAGCCTCCTTTTAAGAGCCCAGCTGTAGAGCCTGCAGCTTGCTTTGCCTTCTCTGTGAAACCAAGATCAGAAAACCCAAGCCCAACTTCTGGCCACTTAGAATTTGGAGATGTTGAGTATGTATCATTTCAGTCAGCAGTTGCCGCAACTTGTTACAGCTGTGATAGAACGTTAACATTTCCTTCCGGATGTGAAGGTTCCTGCTATCAAGAATATTTCACAGGGATGATGTCACCAGCACATAGAAGTTTGTATGGAGTCTGAGATGCTACAGTGTGTGAAGACTGAGATAAGAAAGCTGGAGGGGGAGAGTAGTTGGATGGAGGCAAAATTGACAGCCTAAGCTTTCTTTCATTGGTACCACCTTTCTCCCTTGTTTTAAAACCAAGAAATAAATGAATGGACTTGCCCAATGTCAGGCATCTGACTGCTGCTTCTAGGTTTAAAATAGATCATTCAATTTTCACAGTATGTTTCTCACCTCTTCTACTGACCACATATACAGGACCCTAGTCCTATAGTGGCCTGTAGAATGGCATCACCAGAGCTGGAGAGGTGACATAAAGTTAGCTGACATAAAGTTCAAGCACAGGGGAGATGATTTTGGCTTATGGTACTGGAGCTTTTACTCCATGGTCTGTTAGCAGTGTTGTTATGTTCCTGGGGTGAGCCTCAGACATGGTAGTAGACTGTTAAGTTCATGGCAGGTAGGAAACAGACAAAGGAAATGAAAGGAAGCAGTGTATAGCATCAAAGGCAAGCTCATAGCAACTAGATTTCTCTAGCCAGGCCCATCTCCTTGTCTCTATCACCTCCTAAGAATACCACCATCTAATTGGGTCTCTATCGAAGGGCTTGACTGTCAGTGAAGCCACAGACATCAGCACCAATCATTTCTGCAAAGTCCTAGCTTCAACAAAACTTTTAACACATAATCCTTCAGCAGATATTTCAGATTTAAACTATAAGAAGTGTCAAAACTAAAGCCCGAGTAGTAATGAAGAGTATTTTCCTATTCAACTAGTGACTAGTTTTTTCCTGTTTAAGACTAGTTTCTTTAAAAAGGACTGTTTGTTTGTTTATTTATTTGCAGTGCTGGGGATCGAACCTATGGCTTCATGTATGCTAGACAAATCTGAGATAGATCATCACCCTTAAAAATAGTATTTCAGGTGTGAACCCACACAAGACTTTTTTAGTTAGGGCTAATGCATATGGCATCCTACCTAGTGTGGCTGTATTCTTACAGTGTCCTGCTGCTCTGTTAGCTAATATAGACAGAGGTGAAATATTAGAAAAAGTGTTGAGTAAGATGACTGCCAAGAAAATGCCCTGTATCAGTTCTGCTCAGTGCATTCAACAGGGTGATTTATGTGTACCTAGAAGGATGCCATCCAGAGCTGGACCAGAGTTTGAAAACCATTTGCCAGCCAGCAATGCAAGAAGATAATTCCTCTTGTCAGTCATGTTTTGGTATATTGTCCATGAAATCACTGAGCAGACAGGTTGCTGCCTCGTAGAACCTTCACTAAAGTTCATATAGGCAAGGGGTGATTGCCTTTAGAGGCATCTGTGAGATGTATGGCAGCAATGGAGAGTGGAGGTCTTGCAGTGCTGAAAATATGACTTTCTTTCTGGATGTTGTTAAAGTCCTAGTAGATGCCAAAATCATGTATTTTTTTTTGCTTTTGTTGCTCTAGTATTGATGTTAAGAGTTAGAGTTGAAGAGGGTCCAAGTACCTCTCATTTAAACAGAGCTATGTAAACCATATAGGGTACTCACTTGTCCCGAACTTAAGCAAAATGACCCATCCTTCTCATAGAGCCATTTTCCCACATCAAGTTGATAAGAATACCGGTGTATGTTACTTCACGTACGTTGTCATAATAAAGTACCATATACACAGTGACTCATGCAACAGGGGTTTACTTTACTATGTTCAGTGTGCAATCAGGTTTAGATTCTTTTGAGGATTTTTCTCTTGAATTATAGATGGATGCCTTTTCTTTCCATCTGTTCTGGGTATTTTCAAATGAACACACCCCCCCACCCTGTCACCACCCTGTGCTTATCTATGTTCTGATTTATTCTTGTAAGAGCTCAGTCATATTGGATTAATGTTTTTCTCAGTGACATAATTTTAACTTAATTTCTTTTTTAAAGACCATTTCTCTAGATATAGCGTCATTTGATTTTTAGTATATGAGTCTTGGGATCCACAATGATTGGGAAAGGAAAGAAACACAGAAGACTGTAGATTGTCATCTAAGAGGTGTCACATTTGGCCACATAGTGGTCATAGGCCATTGCTGCCAGCATGTAAAACTCTGTGAGGAGACGAGCAATGAAAAGGTAGCACTGGATAAAGCAGCCAATGAAGGAAATTGTCTCCTTGTCTGATAAGAAATTGGTCAACATCTGAGGGGTAGCTGTTGAGGTATAACACAGATCCACAAATGCCAAGTTACTGAAGAAGAAGTACATAGGTGTGTGAAGGTGGGAATCCAGTCTGACCAGGACCATCATGCCCATGTTGCCTACGACAGTGACAAGGTAAACAAACAGAAACAGCACAAAGAGGCGAGGCTGGAGTTCTGGGCGATCTGTGAGCCTCAGTAAAATGAATTCTGTGATTTTAGTGCCGTTTGTGAGGGGCATCTCCTGAGATCTGGGTCTGTGAGTCATGCTTCCAAAACATGCTGGCAGCCATGGCCTATGACTGCTATGTGGCCATATGCAATCCTCTGTGTTACAGTGTGAAAATATCTGGGCGAGTCTGCATATGCTTGGCCGTGTGTTCTTATAGCTATGGTTTCTCAGCTGGGCTATTCCAAGACATCTTGATCTTCAGTATGACCTTCTGTAAATCCAATGTCATCAATCACTTCTACTGTGCTGACCCACCACTCATTAAGCTGTCTTGCTGTGATACTTACATAAAAGAACATGCCATGTTAATATCAGCTGGTTTTAATCTCTCCAACTCACTCACAATCATCCTGATGTCCTATGCCTTCATTATTGCTGTCATCTTAAGGATAAAATCAGCTGAAGGAAGGCTCAAGGCATTCTCTACCTGTGGTTCCCACATGATGGCTGTCATATTGTTTTTATTGGACTCTTTTCTGCATGTATGTGAAACCACCCACTGACAAGACTGTTGAGGAATCCAAAATAATAGCTGTCTTCTACACCTTTGTGAGTCCACTGCTGAATCCATTGATCTACAGTTTGAGAAATAAAGATGTAAAGCAGGCCTTGAAAACAATACTCAGGCAAAAAGTTATCAGGACAACATTGATGCCTCCTCATTTCAATAAACCACAACAATAGTTTCCTTAAAAAAAAAAAGAGATGTCACATTTAAGCATTTACCATAGAAAGAGGTGGAAAGAAATTCCCTCAAAAGCCAAGAGGAAGAAAGAAAGAAAGAAAGAAAGAAAGAAAGAAAGAAAGAAAGAAAGAAAGAAAGAGAGAGAGAAAAGGATGGACAGAGGGAGGGAGGGAGAGAGATGGATAGATGCTGATGAAGATGGATGATTGATAGACAGACAGACAGACAGACAGACAGACAGACTGATGGTATTAAAATATTTATAAAGATTTGGATGAGTTTTTAAAAAGTGCCCATATGTTTTGGTAACATCTTATTACCCACCAACAGCATAATGTATACAGTTGTACATGGAAGGCAGTTTTTGAAAGGCCCTTGAAATATATTTCCTGGCGTTTTGCAATGTCTAGGAGCATAGAAGATAGTGCCTTACTGTCTAAAAATTCTGAAGGCTGTGCGAGGTTTTACTGAACTGACTCACAGCAGTAGTAATAGTGTGATACGCATGTACCAAATGCCTCAGTGACAAAGATGGAGCTCATTTCTGGTCTGATTTCATAGTGATTTTGAAAGATAGTTTAGTATAGCTATATATAATGGATTAAGGGTAGGTTAAGGGATAGACCAATATATCATATTAGCCTATCTAGGTGACATTTTAACCAAGCTAGGGATACCTTTCTCAGTAAGGAAAGACAAATCTCCTTGGTGAAGCTGTTCAAGAATTAGACATCAACTATCTGTAACTTAGTGTCTTCTCCCAACATGACTCTTCCTTCCAGAGGAGAATTGTAATTTGGGTTGTTATACTGAGAGGGAGGTGCTACTGACCAAAGCCATGGATGATGTTCATTATTCTAGATTACCCAGGGAATCCCCTGACATCCAGGCTGGCATGTCAACTGCCCTTCTCATGAAACCATTGCCCCATATCAAGTTGATAGGAAAAGCAGTGTATGATAATTTACTGGAACTATCGATAACAATGACCTTGTGACATGAGAATCTTGGCATAGCACCTTGTTACATTAGTTGCATGCATGAATGAAATGTTCATAAAAGCAAATACTTGGTAAGTGTACGTGCTGGGGGAGTGCATCAGCCTTTTCCTCAATTTGACCGGTATATACATTATGTACTTTTTCTGTGCCAGGGATGAGGGAACACTAAATGATTAAGACAGCGCTCTAGCTTCAGAATCTTACCTTATGATATAGGTATGTTAGATTATGAACATGCTGGTACTACACAGAAAAGGCTTCCCTATGAATAAGCTATAAATTCAATGTATGGCTAATGCCTTTAAAAACTCGCTTTAGTTTATAATTCATTATATTTAAAAACTCATATTCATAATAATGCTTTAATACATTAATTATTATAGAACCAAATATCCAGAAATAGGAATACACAAATATTATATTGGCTAATTGTAGGACTAAGGTTTTTTAATTATATGTGTGTGTGTGCCTATGTGTTGGTTTTGTGAGTGCAGGAAGCAAGAGGGTATCAGCTGCCTGATATGGGTGCTGGAAATCATACTTTATTTTTTTTTCTGCAAGAGCAAAAAAGCATTCTTAATCTCTGAACCATCTTTATAGCCCCATGGATATGTTTTAAAATTTAATTTTCAAAACTAAAATGTTTTTACAAGTTTAAGGTATGTACTCATTAAAAAATGAATTAAGTAATATATAACATTGAAAGCAAAAATTATCAGTAATCCATCTTCCAAATATAAAAGCTGAGATTTATTTCTTGGTGCATTTTCTTGAATGCCTTTTTTCTATGTATATATATTATAAATGCATAGCTTATATTGTACTCTGCTTTCCATTTAAGACATCTATGTTAATGTTTATGTCACTGTTTTAAGGGAATTATACAATATATACGTGTTTATTGTGATAACTTTAGAGCATGGAATAAAATGCACAACCCCTCCTGCTTGTTCTCCCCTAGCCTCTGTTTCATGCTGGAAGGCAATTTTTGCAAGTGCATTTTTAGACATTTTGCCATGATCTCATCCTGAAGGCTGACCACTGATAAGTAGCAATAGTGTCTGTGGCCATTCACATATAGTTCTCCACAAATTCAATTAATATGATTATGTTCACTAACATACAGTTCATCACAACTTCAGTTCAAAGTGTTGGATTGCAGTTCTTCCTTTGTATAATCCAATATTATAAACATTTTGATACTTGAGACTTTATATAATTTCAAAGTCAAATAGGTGTACCTTTATTAGGGATTTTCTCACATTTTAGTCTGGCTCATGTGCATTATAGCTACTATAGTACCTACCCTATAGCTTCTATGTGTTTCCTGTTCTTTAAAAATAATGAATTCCTTAATGTATTTACTGTCTTTCTTTATAATGTCTTGCCATAGGGTCAACTTCATGGCAAGGTTTAAGGTTTTTCCTGTAGTCTCAAGTCATACACATGCTCCTTCCCCAGTGATGTCCCTTCTAGAGCATACCAGCTTCCTGCTGCCAACTGGGCCAGCTATTCTTTTACCCAGTTATCATTCCTACTTCTGAGATCGCTCCTCTCTCTTGGAATCCTCCATCTTTCCATTTGGTTTTCAATCATTACCGTATTACTACTGTTCCTACTACTGATTATTGTAGGTATTCACCCTTTCCTCCTTTTCTTCCTCTTCTTCCTCTCCCCTTTCCTCCTCTTTACCTTTTTGTGTATAGCACATACTTGGAACATTTGCCTCGCAGGCACTGTACAGTGCTCAAGCTGTAAACATTGTAAGGCCATATGTATTTAAACATATTTTTATTTCACCCTCATGTGTGGTTGGTATTTTGTTAGCTGTGTGGACTGTTAGGCTTAGAAGCATATGGATATTAGAATGTATACTTCTCTTTTAATGAGAAGTCTGGAGCCAGTCTGATTCTGTACCTGTGTGTTTGTTTGGTTTTTTTTTTTTTAAGATGAAGTCATATTTTTATCCTCACTTGTATATGATGTCTGAAAGTAAGAGTTATTGTCCTGGCCAGAGATAATGATGTTAATATCTGGCTCATGGGATAGGTAGCCATGAGACACAAACTACAATTAAGATATGTGTGATTTAATTTGGCTGCTTTTGTAATTTGGCTTTCTTTTCCTCTTATTTTCCTGAAAACCTTAGCTGAAATTCACAATTCTTCTCTTACAATTTTAAAAGTTACACTTAAATTACTTCTTGTGTGTACACCCTCGCGTACATTCATGTGGAATTGGTCATCAGAAGGACATCACCCATCTAGATCTTTCAAAGGCAAGTATAGAACTAAGTCTTTGTCCCCTAGTTATGGTCTATATTTAGCATCCTATAGCATTTATTTTCAATCACAGAAGCACAGAGGTAGCCACAGGTGCAGGTAAAGTAAGGTAGGTATTCCCACAGGGTAAATGGATGGCTTGTTTTGTATATGAGCAGCACAATCACCATGAATTGTGAAGCCTGAATGTTAGAAACCCAAGGGTAAGACAAACTGAGAAGAGTAATATATGGAATTGGAAGCACATAGTTGGGAGTCCTGTATTGTTACCCAATATGATGTTAATGGTCTTTAGTTGACCAGGTCTAGACTCCTTCTTGTTCAAGTGTGGTTTCCCCTAGAGTCTAGAGAAAGTAGTTTTGAAAGTGGTAAAAATAACTTAACATGAACTAAGCCAAATAGAAGGAAGAATGGATGGTATTAGAAGATGCAGAATTATGGATTTATCTATTATAACTTAAGTTTGTGACATAAATACATATTATGATCTCGTTGTCAAAATGTTTGACACCAGAAGTATTTTGGATTTTTCAAAGTCTTGGACAATTTGATAATACATGATGATATGGTATTGAAGTATATTTGGACATGAAGTTCATCTATGTTTCATCTATATCTTATAAACATTTTCTGACATAATTTTATAAAGGATTTTACAGAACACAGTTACATATATAAAAATTTCCACTGTGGCTTAATGAATTCTATGTGGAAAAGTTTTGATTTGGAACATTTAGATTTCATGTATTCAGATTCGGGTGCTCAAGCATCAATCATGCACTAAGAGGTGGGGTAAAAGCTCTCACTTCCATGACTGGAACAATAATGGCACATATTCACAAGGACATTTTAAGCATGTCTCTTATTGACACCATGACTCTACCAGGTTCTGAAATATTTATCGGATGAGATTGGAATCATCAGTAATTGTGACTTGGTGTCGGTTTGTGGAAATATGCTCTTGCGGCCTTGAGAACCATGTGGTTCTATTCAGATAGTTATCACAAATAATTAAGGTCAAGAGTATCATGGGTTATTATTTTGCCACAGTGCATTAAAATAATATTCGGTGTCTGAAAGCTGCTGAGCCTGATGCAGCACTTTGAAGCCTTCAGGTGCATTAGGCGAGCAGACGCCTTTGGGGGCGGCTGTACCCAGTGAACGATAGTGCACAGAATTAGGTGATGGAATTATAGAGAATGATTTTAGCTTTCACGGTCTAGAATTATTGGACTATATATAGATGTCTATGGGAACCAAGAGACTAACGTAAACTAGTCACATGCAAGGGAGGAATTTTATGTGCAAGTCGTCTGTAAGTATTGACCTTTGCCATCCCTGGCTTTTGCCTTTCCTTTCCCTCCCATCTTTAGTAATGTGTACGGTGCCTCCCTGGCACCTCCTAGAACCTCTAAATCTCAAAGGCAATTGTGGAAGAAACTTTTTTTTTTGCTACTGAGATCGTATGTTCTTTAGATTTATTATCATTATTTAGAGAGAGCAGCCAAGATCAATGCACAAATCTGGAGGATAAAAAAAAATGGCTGGTGAATTTCAGTTTGCATTTTTGAGACATTTCTGTCTTCCTTCAATGTGTGAGATGGATGATTTCCCTCAGTGCTTCCTGGCTCTCTCCTGCTGAAAAGACATCCATTTCTGACACTTAAAGTGTCTTTTCATGGCAAGAGGTGTGCTTTCCTATTCCTGGTT